GAGGTGGAACTTGCTCCTGCAGCTCCCAGGAGCATTCACCTGGCTGCTCATCCCAGCAGGGGCCGTGGGAATKTGTCCATCACACAGAGGGATCTGTGGGATAAGGAAGGAGGGGTTATTCCATCCTTCCTGCCCTGAACTGGCAGGGCAGAATTCACTCAGAGATGTTTGAAACAGTTCCCAGTGAGCAGGRAAGGTCTGGCAATGCCCTGTGTGAGAAGCTGCTCTGAGGGCAGCTCCCTAAATCCCCTGTGCCAGTCCTTTTGGGATCGCTGGAGCTGCTCGTGTCTGGAGGCACAATCAGCTCCCAGATGTCCTTCTCTGCTCCTTCCATGTCCCCTCTCCAGCACACAGCCAGGCACATCCTTTCCARTGTCACTGCTCCCAGCAATCAGTGCTTTTGGAGAGCCTTTGCTGCCAGTCTGCCTGCTGGAGCTGTTCCAGGGAGCCTACGTGGTGTCTGCTCCCTCATTTCTCACTTCTGGGGTAATTCCTCAATTCCAAATCTGCACATTCGCTTCCCAACATGTGATTTTCTGCAGGAATAAATCCCCCATCGCTCTGCAGGGAATGGATTTACAGCAGGGTGCGGTTGAAGGCATGAAGTTGCTCATGTTTTTGTCCTGAGAAGGTGCTTGTAAATCCTATTTTTTAAGAGTTTCTGAGAGCTGGGCAATAAAGAATGAGAAATGCTGGATGGCCTTAAAATAGAACATGAAAGTGTTTTGCAGGGGAAAATGCTTTGGCTCCATCTGGCTGACCCGAGGAGGTGATCGTAAAGCAAAAATGTTCCTGGGGCTGCTGCAGCTCCTGAGCTGTCACTCAGCACAAACAAAGGGGTGGACAGGGCTCAGGGGCTTCAAAGGGAGAATTGGTGACACAGAATCACAGGATCAGGTGGGAAAAGCTCTCCAAGACCATGGAGTGCAGCCATTCCCCAGCACTGCCAGAGCCAGCTCTGCCCCATGTCCCCAGGTGTCACATCCTGCAGGGACGGGCACTCAGCCCTGCCCAGGGCAGCTGTGCCAGGGAAGGAATTTCCCCAAATCCAACCTAAATATCCAACCTGCTCCCCTGGGCCAGCCTGAGGCCGTTCCCTCTCCTCTTGTCCCTGTTCCCTGGGAGCAGAGCCTGATCCCCCTTTTTCCAGGCTGAGCCTCTTTCCCAGCTCCCTCAGCTGCTCCTGGGGCTCCATTCCCATCCCTGGACATGCTCCAGCCCCTCCATGTCCTCCCTGGAGTAAGAGACCCAAATAATCTCTGAYATTTATCCACCTTGGAGCAAGGAATGCCACAAGAGGGACAGTTCTGTGTGGGCCCTTGCTTCTCCTTCCCGGGAATGTTGGTGCTTGATGAGCTCTCAAGTGTGGAGCTGCAGTCCTTGGCGGCTCAAGGAGATGAAGTGAGGTTTCCTAGTGCTTTGTCCTGCCCTCAGATAAGGGACTTTATCATCTGTCCCTGTACAAATCCGTGTGATAGGGCCACTTCCAGGAGCCTGCACTGCTTGAGACTCCAAGAAGAAGAATGAAGGAGGATTTTTTGTCTTGTGAATTAATGTCAGCTGCTTGTAGCAATTAACRCCTCCATCAGATAATGGTCAGTGAAACTACTCTTGAAAGAATGAAGTGGCACATTCTGGAATTCAGGGGTTGTAAGTGACAATTCCCAGCCGGTGGGAGGCTGACACATGGACCAAAGCAAGGAGAAGCAAATTCTCTTCCAAGAATTTTGCGAGAACCAAGTCCTTTAGAGCCCGAGCACGTGTACATTGTCATTGCCTGGGTGTTATTTTGGTTATTTTGATACAGAAATATTTAAAATACATAAAGAATTCAAGGTGGCTCTGAAAAAACCTTCTTGATGCAGCCCCACGTGCTTTTTGCTTTGCCCAGGTATTGTGTGATGATTTTTAAAGCAGATCAGTCGGTGCTTCCCCAAGCTGGAATGTTGCTGGGTGTTTTCCTTGGGGACAAGATTAAATGAACATTGCCTTTCTTACTCCTATTGATTGTGGAGACGATATTAAATTAAAATGAGCCGCAAAACAACTTTGGATTTCTTCTACTTGGAATCTAATAAATTCTGTTCAATATTTTTCATCTCATTTTCTTTCCTTTTGCACCACTGCAAGGCCTCAAGCCCCAGCAGAGACMGAGTCCTGTCGTGTGCAGATCTGTAGAAACTGAAGGATGTTTTCTTTCTGTTCCTGACATTTTCATGTCAACGGGGTTTGTTYTTTATTCAGGGTGACGAGGAAGGGCAGTGCCAGGAGGGGAGCAGAGTCAGCAGGAGCAGCAGGGATTTACAGGAGGTCTCCTGGGTTTTCCRGGGGGAAATCAGAGCAGGATGCCAGATACTTTGGCATTGCCACCTCTCCTGAGCTCATTCCTGGCTGTTGGATCCTTTGCCTTGTCCCCAAGGGGGTGTAGACATGGAGACCATCATGGGGGACCGCAGCTTTAACTTCACTCAGGAGCTGATTTGGGATTATTTGGGCAATGAAGAAGAGCCAACAAACAAATCCTAAAGGATCAAAACCAGTAAAAATCATGGGATTGTGGAGTAGTTTGAATCAGAAGAGACCTTTTAAAGGTCCAGTGCCACCCCATTCCATGGGCAGGGACACCTTCCACTGTCCCAGGSTGCTCCAAGSCCTGTCCAGCCTGGCCTTGGGCACTGCCAGGGATCCAGGGGCAGCCACAGCTTCCCTGGGCACTCTGTGCCAAAATTTTATTGTAAAAACCCTTYTTCCTCTAATTTAGAWATCTAATCTAAATCARCCCTCCTTCAGACCCAAACCTTTCCCTTTGTCCAATCACAACAGGCCCTGCTAAATAAAAAATGCCTCATGTATTTTTAAACCTGCTGGATTTGGAGTGCTGGGAATTGCCAGGCATGTTTCTCCTGGCACAAATTGCCCCAGATTCTGCTACTTTCTTATTTTTCGCTGTGTCCAAAAAAAGGAGCAAGCCACATTAATTTTCCTGTACCTTTCCCATCTCTGCTTCCCCTTAAAATAGAAAGGACAAGTTTTCTTGCTGGAGGTCAGCACTTATCAGAGTTCATGAGATCRGAGTGGAAGATAGTGCAGAGCAGGGCTTCTTTTTGCATCCAAAGCTATTAAAGCTTCCTTGATAGAAATCGTGTTTATCTGAGCCAAAATTATTCTGAAAACAGCCATGACTTACCTTCAGAACAACAAAAGGTACCACGGTAAGGAGGAGTCCTGCTGAGCTGAAACTGAACCCAAAAAAAGGAGAAAGRCCAATGGTGGAGTCCCCAACCCTGGAGGGTTTTAATAAAGGTGTGGATGTGGCACTTGGGGACATGAGTTAGGGGTGGCCTTGGCAATGCTGGGGAACAGTTGGACCTGATGCTCCTAAAGGTCTTTTCCAAGCGAAATAACCCTGTGATTCTATAAATACGCAGTTGTCTCCTGAAATAAATCCCTTAGCATTGGGCTGGATGGAAAATCTTACCCAAAGCCACACTTTTCCTGTGGTTTCATTTATTTCAGGCTCGGTTTTTTTTTTTTTTTTTTTTTTTTTTTATGGATAACCCCAATGTTGTGCATTTTAGTCTGAATAAAAGAGGTTTTTTGTCTGAGTTTGACAGTGGTGAGTGCTGTTGGCACCTCAGAGGGCACAGGTGAAACATTTGTGACCACACAGGACTGTGTTTGTCGTGGCTGGTGACTAAGGAGTGGTGGTTTGGGATTATTGCTAAAGAAGACTGCAGCAGTTTACGGCTTTTTCAGGGCTTTTTGGGGGGATTTTCCAGCAGCAAAGATCCAAAGAATCTCTTGGTGCCCCAAGAGATCCCATCCCTTGGGAATGAGCGAGGAGCTTCCCAGCACCATGGCTCACACACAGCCATCAGCATCTGTGCCCATGGCAGCGGGGTGGAATTGGGGGATTTTTGAGGTCCCTTCCAACCCAGACCAGTCTGGGGTTCTACTAAACCATGTGACAAGAAGGTAAAACCTCATGGAAAAACACAGGTGGGAGAATTTCAGGGAAAATATGCTTCAGTTGGTTTGGCACCCTGGCCAGAGTGACAGGAGGAAACAGGATGAGTGTGGAGCAATGGATGTCCTGGAAAAATCATGGTTATCTTCTAATGAAATGGAGAGAAACGATATTTCTGATTGAAAATCCTCATCATTAATGCTCTGCTTGCAATCACTGGGTCTGCAAATAACTTTCTGAGGAGCTTCTTGATTGCTGAAAGGCTTTAGATATTCCTGGCTACGATGACAAGAGTTTCATGGAGCCTAAAAAAAATTAAAAAAAAATCTGTTAAACTGCTGCTTATCCAACATTAACTACAGCAATTTTTAATTAACCTGATTTAGAAGCCAAATATATCACTGATGAAAATGAGAGGGTAGAACATCCAGTCATTTATTCCAGTACAGCGGTCATGATTGTTGAATTAGATTTATTCAAATGAACCTCAGCATTTTGCCACAGTAGTCAGTGGTGCCAGGGTTTCAGAGCAGTGGGATTTGGGGCATGGGAATGGGGGATTGCATTGTGGCTCTTGTGGTGCTCAGAGAGGGGGAGAGCAGACTCATGCTCACTGTTATTTAATAAAACAAAATATTTTAAATAGGGGYGTGTTTTCCTGCAGGATCCCCACCTTCCCCTCAGCACGAACCTCTGGTTAATGGAAGTGCTGAGCTCTCCCAGGAGAGCCTTTGTGATGGGGTTTTGTACCTGAATTCCGCATTCAGAGCGTGAATTTTCCCAGTGGTTCTCTCCAAAGCACAGCGAGCATTCCTGCATTCTGCATTCRGATCCTTGTATTCTGCAGGAATAAAGATGAAATATTGATGATGTCACGTGTGGGTCTGTGGAGCACGTCCCTGTCCCTTCCTGTTTCCACAGAACCCACCTGCATTTCCCCTCTGTGCTCACACAGGCTGTTTGTTGCTTTGCAGGGGCGCCATCCTTGCTCCCTGCTGATGAAATCCTAATTCTTCCTTTTGTTTCCTTGCAGGTTACCCCACAGGCTATCCCACCGCTGCCCCAGCCTACAATCCCAACATGTATCCAACCAGCAGCCCCGGCTACGCCCCAGGTAAAATCCTCAAAAAGGCCTCAAAACTTTCCTGGCTCACCCCTTCCCAAGCACTTTTATTGAAAATTTTTATTATAATTTATCCCAAGCATTATTATTGAAAAATAGTATCTCTCCCTTTGATTTGACTTTGAGATGTTTGTGCTTGAGATGTTTATCCTGAATGGTTTTGTCTCAGGAGAGCTGCAGGATTCTAAAACTTCTGAATGGAGCTGCCTTTTGAGCTCAGGGTGCAGCAGAAGAGCTGCTTCTGTAAGGAACTCAAAGCTGGACTTTGTGCCAGCCTTGCTCAACCCTCTCTCCCTGCAGTTGCCAAGGTTTCAGTCTCYCAGTTGTCATAAAATCAGTGGATCCCCAGGCTCAGGGGCTTTCCAAGGCTGACGAAACAGGAATGATGGGTTTGTTGCCAAAAACTTTTGTTTCTGTCTTCTCCCCATCACAGTTGATACATATTCCATAAAACTGTTGATTGTGGATGATTCTGGGAGGGATCTGTTGTGTTTTGTTTGGGTTTATGTGCTTTTGATAAGGTCTTTAGCTGCATTTCTTCCCATTAAAGCCTTAACATGAAACAAGTTCTGTTCCCTTGGATGTGTGCTGGCCACCCTCAAATTCCCCTGAAGGATATAACATGGGAGCAATTAAATGAAAACAACTCCATAGAATAAGAAAAAGCCCATAAATTTATTAGTAGCTTGTCCTTCCAGAGGCTGGCAACATCCTCCCTGCTCAGCCAGGAATGTAAATGCTGCAGCATTCTGGCATTTTGGCCTGGATATTATGAAATGTCACTTGTCCCCAGCCCCTGCCATGCAAAAAAAAAAAAAAAAAAATCCTCTGATCATTTTTGTCCCCCTTTGCCAGATCTTTTTGTTGCATGGCTTAATGTTCAAGCCAGAGATCTGCCACAACCCTTTGACATTTAAATTTTATTCCTCTGATTCTCACCCTTAAAAAATGCTTTTCATAATTTCCGTCTTGGAAATCTCCCGATGTCCAGAGAGGTTGTTTTGCACGGAGAACAAAAACGTTCCATTGGGTAACACAGCTGAGTACTAAACTAGTGAGGAAACAATAAAGATTAAAATGCAGAAATTAAATTTGGGATTAAAACTTTCTAGAAGTTTCCCATAAATCTTGAGAGACCTAGTCCAGGTGAAGATGTCCCTGCCCCAGGCATGGGGCTGGAACTGGATTTTCCTGAGGGTCCCTTCCAACCCAGACCAAGTCTCTGGTTCTGTGAAAATCTATTTTACAGCTCTTGAAATCAATACAATTTAATATCACAGCGAGATATTAAACCACTTTAACCACTGTGGGAAGCAGGGGCAGGTTCTGCTGCTCAGAACCTCCGAGCACCACACTCACTGGTCGCTTCTCAATGGAAAACAGACTTCCAGGAGGAGAAAAAAAAAGAGATTGTGAGAGATAACTGATGGAAAAGAAGCGCCATAAAATCTCCCAGCAGTGGGGACATGTGACAGAGTGACAGCATCCTCGACTGTGCTAAATGGAATTGGGCTGAAGCAATTCTGTGGTTCAGTGGCTGAGTTAAAACCTGCATCAGCACAGGGAGCGTTTCCTCAAATTGAAGGAGCTGCTGTCACTCCGGAGGCTGGAAACGACCTGGAGAGGAATGTGCTYCTGGTGTGTCCTTCAGACACCCTGGGGATCAGCTCGAGGGTTACAGTCTTGGACTTCTGAAACAGCAGAATAATTCTAAACGTGTTTTTGAGGGATTTTAGAGATTGAATCTAAAAAAGGAAGAGATGCTGCGTGTTCCYAGCAGAATTCCTGCTCCTGAGCATCCCATCCACAGACAGGGTCCTGTTCCAAACCTCCCAGGCTGGGGAGGGGGTGGTGCCTGCTGGCTGAAATCCCTCCAGCTCACCAGAAAGCAATCCCAAACCAAGGTTTCACCTGATTCTCCATAGAGAAATTACCCAGGTGAATGTTCCCCCTAAAATTGCTTGGAATGGATGTTGGGAAAGTGGGAAGAGCATCCTTTGCTCATGGCTGCTGAATTTGTGGGGTGCAAGTGAGGTCTCTTGGACAGAGGTATCCTGTACCAGCTTCATCACCTCTCTGCTCCACCCTAAAGGTGCYCCTTAGGTTTCTCTTGCCCCAAACCTGATCAATTTATTTTGGGATTCCATTCAAAGTCTTGGCAGGAGATGAYCCCCTGAGTGAAGATAAGCCCGGTTTTTATATTGTCCTTGATGTTCTCCAAACACTCCCTGATGCTGGAAGTCAGCAAAGCTTGTGCTCTTCTCTTGACCTCATGGTTCCCAAAATCCTGGGATCCACRTGGGAATTAAACAATCTTGTCACCTAAACTTTGTGGCAGCATCAGAGAAGAGTAAGGAATCRCGGAGGGGAGCTTGGAGAAGTCTGGAGTCCCCTTGGTCCTGCAGCAGTGAGGAAGGGAAATGATAACTGGAGCCRGTTGTGATTCCTCTCTCTCTCTCAGTGCCAAATTTCTGGAGAATAATTGCTGGTGCTGGAACCCTAAAAGATGYTAAATTATTCCCCAGATTATCCCAAASGAGCCCTGTGTCAAGCAARGGCCATGAGTTGGACTGGATGATCYTTGCTGGTYGCTCCCATCTGAGGATATTCTGTGATTTTATTAATTCCTTCCCATTCCAATTCAAGGTTCTGCCTTGTGTGATTTTCCTGCTGCATTTTCCCACAGTTTTTAGAGGGAGAGACACAAGGTAAAACACCAGCATGGCAAACTCATGCTTGCAATAAGCCTGGGTTTTTAGGACACTGTTCCTAAAAAAGAAAAAAAAAATCCCTTTTAACTATGCAAAAATGAGCATCTAAAATCACCCTGCTGCAGAGACACAATTAAAAAAAAATAAAATTATGTATGTCTTCATTAAGCCTGGYGCATGTTCCCTCGCAGGCATTCTGCCTCGCTCATGGTTGTTTTGTTTTAAGTTCCTTCATTAAAGCCTCCCTTTTTATTTTCCTGAAAGTAGGACACCCACTTTGCCTCGTGGAGGCTGGAGCTGGGTTTATTAATAATGCAGGGCAGAAATGATGGCTTTGCAGTGGTGCCCTTACAGAGCAGAGCTAAAATCAGAATTTAGGGAATTTAGGGATGGGACACGATGGAGGCTCTGAGCCCCCATTCCAGCTTTGGATCCCGCCTGGAGAAAACACTGCTTTGCTCCTTTCARTGCTCTGAGCCATCCTCTAGAGGTGCCCACCGACTCTTTGGGGACACCAGTGGGTCCCCTGAAGGGTGTCTTGGGGTCTGGAGGGGTCAATGTCCTCTAGTGCCTCGCAAGGCTTTCCAAGGACAAATGCTCCCATCATTTTGAGGCGCTGAGGAGTGGGACTGCCAGGGAATTAAGTTTATTACAAACTTTGTTTAGGGTTGGAGGCTGTATCCATCACAKATGAGGTTGTCAGAGGGAGAAAGAAATCCTAGAATGGTTTGGGTTGGSAGGGTTCATATTTTTGTGTTTCCCMCTTGAAATATATCCTGAACATTCCTGCGTGGTCTAAAGGTCCTATCAGGAAAAGAGCGCAGTCCCAGCTCTGCAGAGACCCCCAACTCACACTGTTTGCTCAGTTCCCACTGGATGGTTTTCCCGGGATTAAACTGGAAATGCTGGAAAAATCTTTATTTTATTTATTTCTAGGCGAGAGGGTAAACCAAATCCAGAAGATGCTGGTTGGAGGTAGCCCTTAAATGGYATTATGTAGTCATGGCTGGATTGTGATCCCTGTGAATTACTGCAAAGGACCAGGAGGTATTAACGTTCCTGGAAGCCTCCTTGATCCACCCTTTGTGTAGTTTCAAGTGATGGATTCTCCGAGGATCTGTGATTTAATAACGAACAAGCAGAGCTGTGGCAATTTCCCAGCCATCTCCAACCCAAATTGCCTCGATTTTGTGGCGGGTTTAATGTGGAGAGAAGAAACCACACAGGAAGGATTCGTGGAGCATCAGAATGAATTGTCTCATCAGTCTCGGAGATTAAAACCTCTGTGCAATCCAGAGGCAAAAATGAATCTGGTTGTGAATAAAAGCAGAAGTGAGGGAGTGTTTCTGGGAGCTCGTGATGTGCCTGGGTGCAGCCTGCCGTGGCAAATAAAGCAAGGCAGCCTGGAAATCCTTCACAACTCCCAGACTTTTGGGAGAAGGCAGAGACTTGGAGCAGAAAATGATCAGTGCCTGAGTGGAAGAGAAGTTGGGCTTGAATCTCCCCCTGCCCACAAACCTCCTGGTTTTCAGTGGAGGGAGGAGCAGGTTTCCACATCTCCAGCAGAGGATCTCCCATCCAGGAGCATCTCCCATGGCTGGAGATGGCCAGTAAAGCAGCACTGCTGGGTGTCCTCATGCTCCCCATCCCTCTCCCACCCCAGGAGAGTCTCAGCAGGGTTTGGTGGGCCAGTAGACCTGTGGCAGTGGTTCCCTGTGCTCTTGGGGATGTGTTTTTCCATCACGAGGATGTGCTGATTGCTCCTCAGCCTCCTCAGCCCCTCATTCCCAGTTTCCAGGCCTGTGACACTCTGGATTGACGGCTGTACCTTCAGAGAGGATTCATTTAGAGTCTGAGGAGGGTGTGGAACGTCTTTGCTCAGCTTTGGGGCTGCAGGAATGTTTCCAAGCCCCAAACAAAGTGTGAAGCCCCTTCTGTGGGGCTCAGCACCTCAGGGGTAGGAACWTGGGGGAAGAGGTCAGCAAGGTGACTCAAATGTGCCATAAATGTGAGAATTTGTCTGTCAYTGCTCGTGTGACCCCTGTTCTCTGTCTCTATCCAGCCACACTCCTGATGAAGCAGGCCTGGCCCCAGACCTCCTCGTCCTGTGCCACTGAGGGCACCTTCCACCTCCCGGTGGACACCGGCACCGAGAACAGAACCTACCAGGCTTCTTCTGCAGCATTCAGTAAAGGAACCTTTCCTCCTGGGGTTTTTCTTGGTTGGTTGGTGCCTGTTTGCCTCCCAGGCCAGGGCTCGGTTTGGGGTCAGGGTTATTTGGGGTCACAGAATCACAGACTGCTTTGGGTTGGAGGGACCCTAAAGCTCATCTCRTTCCAATCCAGGAGAGCARGCTGCTCCAAGCCMCATCCAGCCTGGCTTTGAGGGATTAAAACCATGAAGGAGCATGGCAAGGAGAGCACTGCCCCTCCTGCTGCTCCCACAGGGGAGGAATTCCAGCAGGGAAGGTGAAACCTCTCTCCTTGCTGAGTGTTTGATCCCTGGSAGCAGCCTGGGGTTGTTCACAGGTGTTTATCTGCAAAGGGAGATTATTCCCTATTCCCTTTAAACTGAAATTCYGAAATAAGGCCCGATTTTCAAGGAACATGGTTGAAACTGCTGCYTCTTGAGCCGGGCTGGCTGAGCAGGAGCAGGGGGAGGAGATGCCRCTCTGGGATCGCAGTCAAACAGGCTTTTCCAGGTGTAGCCTCATCATCTYCTCCCTGGAGAGGGTAAGTGGTGCCTCCAGGAGGGCTGATAAGCTCCCTGATAAACCCTGGATGCTTTTCCTGGTATGTGGGGTGTCCTCTGGCCCCTGCCTGGCTGTCCCCTGCTAACTCTGGGACATGGCTGCTGTGGGGTTGGAGCATTTCTCCCCTTCCAGCTACTCCAGACTCCCTTCTCCTGCTAAATTAAATCAATTCCACAGTGAGGTGAGAGGAATGAATATAATTTTTTTTTTTTTGTGAAAAGGATTATTAAAAATAAACCTCTCAAAAGCCCTGGGGARACTTTGTCTTGGAAATGGGGTGTCCCTCCCACTTCCTTGGGATAGGGGTTGTACACTGGGCACAGTCCAGCCCTGGGAGCAGCTCCGTGGCCTTGTGGTGAACCTTCCATGTGGAAACAAACGGAGACAGCAATACAAAATTCCCCACTGAGCTCTTTTTCTCCCCAACCAGCCTTTTGTAGAAAAAACATTTCTGTGCAATCCAGGGACCCTGTGAGCTGCAGGATCAATAAGGCTGAGATTTCTGGAGTGACATGAGGGATTTAATCAGCAGTTTTAATAGAAGCTGCAGCTTAAAGGCTCGCTGCTGCTGCTGCTGCTGCTGAACCACAAAGCGGCAGCAGCACGGGCCACGCCAGCCTAATCCTAATAAGGTGTTAGTTATAATTAGGTTTTAAAATTAGCTGCCAGACAGAGAGAGCCTCCATCATCCTGTGTCATTAAACCTGGATTTCACTTTGTTATACCTGCTGGTTGTTCTGGTTTTTCCCCAGTTTATAAACACAGCAGATTACATCTGCCTGGGCTATTATGTTTAATACCTTTTTAATATTGGAGATAAATTGTCCGTGATTGGTCAATCAGGAAACCACTGCAGGTCTTGCTATTCAAAGTGGTGAAACCACACAGTCCTGAGCTGATCCACACCCCTGGACACCCCTCAGAAATTAACTGTGATGATGAGAACTGGCAGTCTTTGTTGGAAAAAAAAAGTTCAAAATAGAGGAAAAAAATCTGTTGGATGAAAAAACAGGAGATTGGTTGGGTCTGTGGGTGACGTTGTTGGGTTCCTGATGGAGTCCTGATGGAGGAGGCTTCACTTCTGCTGCAATGATCAATATTTCAAACCTTTCCCACCTCTCATTGGAAGGCAGCTGCTCTCCTGCTGATGAGAGTGAGGAGAAGGGTTACAGCCATTCCCCTTGTTAATTAACACCTATTTTTCCAATCTGCAGTAACCAGGAGGGGGTGAGATGCTGTTTGGGAGTTCCTAAAAGCTCCGTGTGTTCTTCATGCTGTTTCAGTGCTTGGAGGAGAATATGGGATATTAGACYTGAAATCTTGGCCTTCTGTAATTTCTGAATGCTGGGAGATTGAATAACTGAAATATGTTTGAGTGTTGTGGTTGGGCTGAGCTTTGGCTTCTCCTCTCCACCCACACAGCCTCTGGGGCCYGTTTTCTCCAGGGATGGCTTCTCCCAGCCCTCCTGCCAGCCCCTGATTGGATCCCTCTTGTCTCTGGCAGGGTACACCGCGGGCACCCCCTACAAGGTGCCACCGACCCAGAGTAACAACGCCCCTCCGCCCTACTCGCCGTCCCCGAACCCGTACCAGACCGCGATGTACCCCATCAGAAGTGCCTACCCACAGCAGAACCTGTACACCCAGGTAGGTGCCACTGCTGTCACCTCTGCCACGCCCAGGACACCTGAGCTCCTGCAGGGCTCTGTCCTTGGCTCTCGGGGCCGAGCAGCCCCGTCTTGGTGGGATGGAGGCGCTGGGATCACCTTGAAATCCCTTCCCACTGGAAATCCTGAGCTTCTCAGAGCAACGTGGCCCTGCAGCTTCCCCTTCCCTGGCTTTCCTTCTCTTTTATGGTGAATAACCAACTTCTCCAGCAGCTGCAATCTCACAGAGTGATTTCCCCGTGCCTTGCTGAGACTGGAGCATCTCACTGATCCGCTGTCACCTTCCCCTGCATAATGTCACCTTCAGTGCCTCTCCTGGAAYTGGGGGAAAAAAAACCCAATGGGCAAAACCCATTGGGGTCCAACCCCACCCCAGCCACAGCCTCTGACATTTGTCCTGTGAACCTTCGTGGCTCCTGAAAGAAAGAAGTGATGGAATGGTTGSTGTTAACCTCCTTCTCTCCTTAATCCACACCTTCAGAGGTTCTCTAATGCACAATAAAATCTCCCTTCTGCTGATTAAAATCCTTGTTTTCTTTCCTCCCATCCCTGGTTTGCAGGTCCTGGTGGTGTTGCTGCCTGTCCTGGGGGCAGCAGTTCCCTCCCTCACGTATCTCCTCCTTTCAGGCTCCTCATTCCTTTGGACATGAAGCTTTCTCTGTGGGCTCCTTTTATTCCCATGTGTTCTTCTCCCCTTGTTTCAAAACCCTGTGAGTCTTGGCAGCCTGGATTTTGGAGCCTYRTTGGAAACCCAAGAAGATGAGAGCCATCCTGGACCCAGGCACCTGGGGATCATCCAAAAGCTGTGCCTTGTCCTTTTCTTCCATCCCTCATTCCTTTTCTCCACCAGCAGCCGTTCATGTCCACGCCCTGTTTATCCCACCCTGTGGAGGCAGCAGGGTTTGTGTTGGATGGATTGACTCTGTGGCTGTGGATTCCCTGCTCATCCTTTCCACATCTCCTCAGGTCCAGCTCCCCCAGCTCAGCTCTGTGCCTGTGGATTCCCTGCTCATCCATTCCCTCCTCATCCATTCCGCATCTCCTCAGCTCTGTGGCTGTGGATTTCCTGCTCATCCATTCCGCATCTCCTCAGGTCCAGCTCACCCAGGTCTCCAGGCACAGGAGCTCACCCGTGTGAAGCCCCAGCCCTTGGGCCATGCTTGAGTCACAGAATCGAGRATTCCTTGGGTCAGGAAAGGCCCTGCAGTGATGGTGGGATCTTTGTTTCCTCCTCCAACAGGGAGCTTATTACACCCAGCCCGTGTACACGGCCCAGCCTCACGTCATCCACCACACCACGGTGGTGCAGCCCAACAGCATCCCCTCGGCCATTTACCCGGCCCCGGTGGCCGCGCCCCGCACCAACGGCGTGGCCATGGGCATGGTCGCTGGCACCACCATGGCAATGTCAGCAGGTAAGGAGGGAGCCTTTCCTATGCTCTGAGTCCTGGATGAAAAATTCCCTGTGCATCCCTCACACTGCCTCAGCCTTGCAGGRCGGACACGGTTCACCTGCTGTTACTGCTCCTTTGCAGGCAAAAATCCTGTAATGTACCCCAAATCCTGATCAGACCCAGCACAGGAGACCTTTGATTTGGCTCACTCCTGCTTCCTTAAAGACATTTTTCTGTATGTTTAAATATATTATTATTTAATAATATAAATAWTATTATAAGTCAGTTCCTGTCAGTTCCATAAGTAGAGAAATAACCAGGTTTGTCCATCCTCGAGTAGTTGTAGTGTATTTCTCTCAAATTCCATTTTTTGGGACACTTATGGTCTTGTTTGACAAAATGAATGCTGACCTTGGTTTATCTATCCCAGTTCCTCTACATCTTATGTGCACGGTCCCTTCTAACTGCAATTAATTGACACTTACCCATTGAGTAAGGAGGGGGGCTGGTTTTATTTTTTCCAAAGCCTGTATTTTTCTCCATAACAATTTGAAGGATTGTATATTGAATTATGCCAAGAAATGCATCATTCATCCTTTTGCATCTGCATTAGCTGTGAAATACGAGTCTGTAATGGCACACAATCCCTGTTCCAAGCAGAGAGATTGCAGCCTGGATGTGACAGGAACCACTCTGGGAGATTTACTGTTGCTTATATTGAGAAGTGGATAAATGTAATTAATGCACATGGGATGGGYTAGAATTTCATTAATAACATTTGTGGAGAGATACCCAGAAACGGAGAATTTGGTCTGAATACCCAGTTGCTCCCAGAACGGAGTAGTCCAGGGCTGTGCTCTCCCTTCCCACGAAGGCATGTGCAAATTCTGACCTAAAATCCCTCTGTTGACTGTCTGAAGTCTAAGAAAAGAGCTCATCTTAATTTTCCCTGGAGATCTGTTGGGTTCTTTCCTCATCTCACTTTGCATCCCTCATCCATTCCAGTCTGTTTTGGACAGACATTCCAGTCTGTGCAGTGATTTGCTGTCCCAGTTTAGCCCAGTGCCTTCAGCAGGTGGATGTCAGCAGGTTGTGTCCAGCTGGTCTGTAGGGACAAGGACCACTGGAAAAAGAAAACAAGGGAAGCCCTTAAGGGCCAAAAAAACCCTTAAGGGCATGGAAAACCTGCTGGARTGTGTTGGTGCTGATCCCAATCCAGTGGGTCCAACAGCTTTAATTCAGGTCTGGCAGGCAAAATAATGTCTGGGGAAAGGGGAAAGGGAGAAGGGAGAGGGGAAGAGGGAGAAGGGAAAAAAGAAAAGGGAGAAGGAGGCCCTGGTGCTGCTGCTGTCCTTTGGATGAGCACGGTGCCCTTGGGTGCCCCTTCCTCCATCCCATGACCGGTGTTTGTGGTGTCCTGCAGGAACCTTGTTGACCACCCCCCAGCACACCGCCATCGGAGCACATCCAGTGTCCGTGCCAACGTACAGGGCTCAAGGAACCCCCACCTACAGCTACGTACCTCCACACTGGTAAACCACTGGCCAATCCATGTGAGTGCTGCCTCCTGCTCTGCACCAGCCTCCAAACCTGTCCAGCCTGGCCCTGGACCCTTCCAGGGATGGGGCTTCTCTCTGAGACTTCCCCAGCCTCACAGGGAGGAATTTTTCCCCAATATCCCATCCCTGCCCTCTGGCAGTTTAAAACCATCACCCCCAGGCCTGTCACTCCTTTCCCTGACAAAGAGTCCCTCCCCGTGTTGATGTCACCGGAATATTTCCTTTTCCCTGCTGGGAGATCGTGCTGTTCATTAGTACCGGGGTTGCRTGCGGCTGCCTGTGTGTTCCTGTCACGCTGAGGATCCCAGAAATGCCAGCTGCTTGTTCCCGGAGCCCTTGGCCCATCATGCCCAATTACCACGACAGGCAGCTGATGGGAACGCGGAGGAGATCCCATCCAGCCCCCGGGGTTATCTAAAATCTCTCTGCACTATATAAATTACTCTGGGCTAATCCTGCCCCTCCCAAATTGGTGTGCAATTAGCGGGGAGCATCCCATCTGCATATCTGTAATCCTGTGCACTGGGTACCACCATGGTTAAATTCCACATGGGTCAGCTCCATGTGCTGCAGGGGTGCAGGCAGGAGGAGAATTTCCTTCTGACTCCCCGTTTTTAATGTGTTTGCTCTTTTCCAGATCCGGAGTCAAACATTGTATGCAACTACACAAGTCTTACATCGGCGCTGTGGCTGTCGGGCTGCAGCGCCTCGTCTGTTTGCAAGAACAAAAGAAAAAAAAAAAGAAAAAAAAAAGTGCAAGGGTCACTTTATGCATTCTTTAGTGGTTTTTGTAAAAGCTGCTTTTTCTAATCTTCTGCCTCTTTTTTTCCCCCTTCCTCCCCCTTCCTCCTCCTCCCACATGAATTGTGTAACACACATACTGACACTGAGCAATAGTTGAGTTCTCTCTTCGGTCCTATCATTCGAAAAGCTCAGAATCTTCACTTTTCCAGCATTGCCCAGCTGAGTGGTGCAAAGATCCCCCCACTTCTTGTTCGTTTGGGTTCTTTTTGTTATTTTTCTGTTGTCGTTGTTGTTGACAAGAGCCTAGATTTTTTTTGGCTAGTAAGAGTGGTTGATGTTCAGGGTACTATGTGAAAAGCACAGCGCTGGTAGGCAGGCTTATTCCGATTTGGTTTGGGTATTTTTAGTTGAAAAATATAAATTATTCAATCTTCCATAACATATTACAAGAAAAATTGGTGTCTTCCAGATAGCTGTCGTGATAGATTATAAATGCATTATCTGCAGTGGAATTCTGAACTCATCCCTTCTTTTTGTAGGAGTAAGAGAATATAAATATAATTAGCGACGTAACACACTTGTCTTAGGAAGCACGAGGACTGGTCACCGGCGGGTCTTTGGTCTGCTTTTTCCAACTGGGCAAATGGATCTCGGTGGGTGTTGGGAAGGGGGCAGCTGGGGATGGGAAGGCTGGGAAGTGCCCTGGGAGCGTCTCGGGACAACGGGCGCTCCCCCTCAGCCACRGCCGGGGCAGTGTGGGGGCCAAGGCGGCTTCTGCCTTGTGTGGCTGCTGCTTGCGGGCAGAGATTGCTGGGCAGCTGCTGAGGGAAGCAGGGACATGTCCAGAGGGTGGGCTGCAGAGCTCCTCCAGCTTCAGGGTTTGGGCTGCAGAGCTCCTCCAGCTTCGGGATTTGGGCTACAAGCTCCTCTGGGTTCAGGGTTTGGGCTGAAGAGCTCCTCCAGGTTCAGGATTTGATCTGCAGAGCTCCTTCAAGTTAGGGATTTGGTCTGAGGAACTCCTCCAGGTTTGGGGTTTGGTTTGAAGAGCTCCTCCAGCTTCAGCATTTGGTCTGAAGAGCTCCTCCAACTTCAGGGTTTTATCCGCAGAGCTCCTCCAGGTTCWGGGTTTGGTTTGAAGAACTTCTCCAGATTCAGGGTTTGGTCTGAAGAACTTCTCCAGAGTATGGTGGTGGAAAACAGGGTGGTCTGGTTGATGGAGATGAGTCTTCAAGCAGGGTGAGGGGAAGATGGGTGGCTGCACCTTGCCTCCGTGGTGTTGGCAGGGCTGAGACCAAACCGCGCTGCCTCCGAGACAGTCGAGGCGTCCCCCTCCCGTTTTTGGGTTGCAGCTGCAAGGCTTCCAGCAGAAATGTTCATCCAAGCACAAATACCAGCACCACGGGAGAGGCTGGGGAGGGGGACAATGTCCGGCTGCCCTGCCTGGGGAAGGGGAGAGGAGGACGCAATAGCAATAAACACATCGCCTTCTTCATGGGAAGGCGCCTGAGAAGAGGTGACAGCAGGGAAGGTGACCCACAGGTGACAAAGAGCAGGATGGAGGACACCGGGCACACAGAGGCTGTGGGCACCAGGGTCATTGTGGGGGTTTGGCTTACCCAGGGACACGGGGACAGGGAGCCGGTGTCATCCCTCCTGGGGGTGTCCAAGTAGAGCAATAAGTTGTCTTGACGGCAGCAGAGGGAGTTTGGATTTGCAGACAATGCTTGTGGCCAGTTTGTTTTTAAATCCTTGTCACTAAACCTGGCATAGAAACAAGGTTTTCTGGATTTTATTGAGTTTTTTTTAAGACGAAAGCTTGGTTGGGTTTTGATTTTTGCCTCAAGTGTGCCAAAAATGTTCCGTGCTCTSGGTGGTGTCTCCCAGCTTGGCTTCTGCTGCCACTGGGAGGCTCCCGGAGCTCCTTCCCTTGAGCAGGGGCCAGATGGGGAGGAACAATCCTGGGGATGCCAGGAGGACTCTCTGTCCCCCTGGTCAGTCCCTGGTGGTTTGTCATGGCAGGTGTTGGCATTGGCACTTCTGTTTGGGGGTCATTTGGTTGGTTCTGACACCTTTAAAGGAAATGTAGAGCAAGGCTCTGGTTCACCTCTTCAAGCTCAAGGGGAACAAATCGGGGCAAGACTGGGCGCCAGGGCTGTGGGGTGGGTAAGGGGGGACCCTTGGATTCATTTTGGGTTTGTACAGAGAGAAAGGAGAAAGGAAAAAGAGAGAAAGAGCCAATAATCAGCAGGTTCCCCATCTGGCTTGGCAAAGCCAAAGATTAGTTAAGGGCAGCAGGACCTTGGGAAATAAYGCCACTGCATTGTCCTCCCTCTGTTTGTAGGACGTTGCAGTYACACTCGGGCCAGAAAGTCCCCAGCAGATCCCAGGAACTGAAGACTCCTGAGATCCCTTTTCCCTCTCACGTTGTTTTTGTGTTATGTACCAGGAGTTGTCCATCAGCGTTGGGTCAGGTCCCCCAGCGTGACACTCTCTGGTTTGCGGGGTCCCACGAGCTTTGGGATCGCAGCCTGGGCTCTGCAAAGGTCCTTTCCCAGCAGACACCATCCCACCACCGTCCTGGTCACCCTTCACCACTTTAGGAACCGCTGCTGAAATTCCCATGTGTGGAAAGGAGACGTTGGGCTTTCCCCTGGAAGAGAAAAAGCATTAAATGTGGGGGAGAAAGCCCCAGGAGCTGAGCGTGGGGGATCACCCAGTGTTCCCACAAATGACGCCTGGCATGGGGCAGCTGGGTTTGGATTCCTTTGCTTGGATCAGGACCAAATCCAGGRTTCCCCATGCCATTATTCCGAGGCAGAAACACTCCTTAACCAAGGTGTGGGGAGGTGAAATATTCACCATCTGTTGGGCCAGAGGCTTTAGGGACCACGTTTGGTAGCCAACCCTGGGCCACTGTGTGGAACTAGGGCCACCACAGGGTGCCAGGCTTGGGGGGGCTCYTTCCCAAGGTGGCTTCATGGGGCTGCAGTGCTGGGGAGGTGCTCCCTGCCCTTTCCAAGTCCTTTTTCCTTATCCCAAGTCCTTCCCTTGGTCAGGTCATGGCTTAAGTGGGAGTCCTGGGACAGTCACAGTGGGGGACACTGATGGGGGCAACCAGCTTCTYAAATATTTCATTCCAGGGTGAAGGATCACACCAGACGTTGGTGGGGAAGAGCAGGAGGGGTTAAACCATCCTTAGTAGCCACTGAAGGGTCTGAGATTAAAATTCCAGCTAAAAAGGAAGGAAAATACTGTGAACCATTAACCCATCCCTGCCCTTAGCTTTGCTTTAAAACACAAGCTGCCCTGGGAGATTGGGGGGAAAAGAGGATTTTAGGGGTGGAGGTGACCCCCAAACCCTGGGAGCCCCTCGGCACCCGAAGCCACCACGCTCCAAGTGGCTGAGCCCTCCCAGCCAGGATTTGCTCCTGTATTTTATGAGTAATAAATAACTCAGTTCAGCACTGTTGCAGTTTGGGGGTACAGTGCCCTGCAGGTGTTATTTGAGGGGTTTGTTTGAGTGAGGGATGTTCAGAGTGCCAGGGTTTCCTGCAGCCACCRGCATCCCGCTGAATCCTGGTCCTTCCCAGGCCTTCCCCCACTCTTTGCCATCCCCTCCCTCTCATCCTGCATCCCTGCATCCCATGGGATGATGTGGTTCCCAGCTGGAAGGTGTGAAATAGGATCCTGCTTTTTTAGGGGGGTGAAAAACAGCATTTGAGGCTTTATTTTTGGTAAAATCCAATCAGCCAATGATAGCAATAAGAGCTGCTGGATTCCCCTAAATCCAGGTATTTTTGGTTTGGACTTTTTTTTTTTTTTTTTTTTTTTTTTTTTTTTTTTTTTTTTTTTTTTTTTTTTTTTAATTGCCAGTATTTTCAGGCCCTCCAACTGTTGTCCCCAAAACGTGGTGACCCTCTGCCCATCTTTGCTTTGCTCCTGAGCCAGGATCAGCCTCCAAACATTTTCTCTGCTGTGTGTTAGCATTCCCCTAGGGAAAAAAAAAGGAGTATGAAGCCTGTTAGGGAGCTTGGGAGGGAGGAAATCTTGGAAAAATGCATTTTTGTGGCAGGTTACTCCATGGCACTTGGAGATTTTTTGGTAATCAGGTGAAAGAACTTGTGGGAATGTTGGCAGAGCAGGAATAGCAAGATGCGTGGTTTGACAGCAGCGATTCCCGCCTGGAAACGCTTGGCTGTGCTGCTTGGAGGGAATAATCCTGATGCAACGTGGCCACCTGCAGCCTCCCTGCATCCTCCTGCAAGGAATGGAGCTGGGAGATGGAATTTTCCTGGGGTTCAGGGTCAGGATTTGCAGGGAAGCACGGGGAGGTGCAGGATCACACCCAAACCCCCCCATTCCCACACCACAGCCTCAACCCACGCCAGGCTCCCACCCCTCTTCCTGTGTACTTCATTTTTAAATTAATTTCGACCACCAGACCAGCTYGTTTGTAAGTATTATTGGTCCTCTTAAGAAAAAATAAATATTAAAAAAAAATTCCCTCCCCMAAAAAATGAAACACRAATTTGARCCCAAGAGTAACCACGTCTTCCAAGTGTAATCTCACAGGTGTGTAGGGAACATGGCCTTGGACTGATGCCCTGGAGAGCCCCACAGCCTCAGTTTGTCCATCTGAAGTGTAAATTTGGGGTTATTTTCCYGTTAGTTTTCTGTTCTGGTTTTGGTTCTGAAGATCAGGTCGCGATCTCCCTGACAGATTTCAGCCAAGAGTTTGTAACTGTACGATATTTACTGTAAGATGTAGAACATTCGATAACTATTAAAATGTTTCCAAAAAAAATTAAATAAATAAATAAAAGAGCCCGAGAGGGTTTGGTGATTGGTTTTTTGGCATGAAGATGCGGTGCAGAGGTGCGTGGGACCGGCCCTAAACCCTTTTTTTGGGGTTGATGGTGTAGGTCTGTGGTCTCCAGCCCAACCTTGGGTTGTCCCAGTGCTCCCAACGTGGCCAAGGCAGCGTGATCCCACAGAAGGAATTCCTGTGGCAGGTGAAGTGCGTGACCTTCGTGGTGAGCGCCACCACCGCTCCTCCTGAGCTGGGGCTCTGCAGAGAGGCTGCAGGACCAGCTTTGCCCTGAGCAATCCGTGCCCCAGCGGGGTTGTGGGGAAGGGATTCGTTATCCTGCCCTGCTGAGCACTGGAGGGAAATCAGGAGCTCACGACGGTCCTGGAGAGTCCAGCAGACCCAGAAAGGGACCATGAGATGACATCCAGTGTCCTGTGTGCTTCCAGCGGAGCTGTGGTGTGGCATCGTGGYTCCCAGGGATGGCACTGCAGCTCCTGAAGATGTTCTCCATCAGGCCACCGTGCTGTGGCCACCGTCAGGCCTCAGGGACACAGAATCCTCTCGTTGTGCTGCTGGAGGACACCTTGGTGGCAGGAGCAGAAGCTGAGCTGCCACCTCCAGCGGGACTGGCTGTCACACAACGCCCAGTGTCCTCCACCCCCTGTGTGGGGTCTTTGTGGGTGTCACCRACCCCTGAGGCAGCCCCCAGGCCAGGTGCCAGCTGTGGAGGACAAGGGATGGACCATGGGTGAGCCACTTGGTGTCATTGCCCACGGCTGTGACAGCCTAAGGCCATTCCCTCTCCTCCTGTCCCTGTTCCCCCCAGCTATCCCCTCTTGTCAGGGAGTTGTGCAGGGCTATGAGGTCCCCCCGGAGCCTCCTTTGCTCCAGGCTCAGCCCCTYTCCCAGCTCCCTCAGCTGCTCCTGGGGCTCCAGACCCTGGACACGCTCCAGCCCCTCCGTGTCYTTGTCGGGAGGAGCCCGGGGCTGGAGGAGGGGACACGGGGAACGTGAGCGGGGACACGTGGGCCCGTGCAGCTGCCCATGAGTCACAGAGCACACCCGGCCGTGCCACCCGTGCCAGGCCCTGCCAGCGCCCTGCGGCGGGGACACCGCCTCCCTGCTGTCCCGAGGGAACGCTCCTTTCTCCGGGAAGGACCCCGCCACCCTCACCTCGGGGGCCATCGGAGCCGTTCAGCCAGGGGTCACATCCCGCTGCCGGTGGGGAGGGGACCGCGGAGGGGCTCTCCCCCCGCCTCGCTCCTCATCTCGGGGATCCGGGACACCCGAAACCTGCGGGGGAGCGTCACATCAGCCCGGGGTGCAGAGGGGACACGCACCGGGGACGGGGGGGTGTCCCTGCTCACCTGCCGATGGACAGGATGGTCACCTCGCTGGGATGAGCTCCTGCTTTGGGGACCTTGGTGGCACCGAGCGGCGGCGGCGCCTCGGGCCACTTGTGGCCGCAGCGGGCGCACGAGTCCGCGCCCTGCACCGTGTGCGGGTGCTGCTGGTGGTGGCAGGCGGGGGGAAACTGAGGCAGGAAGTGCAGCCTGGGGAGGGGGGAGATGCCATCAGCGGGGCTTGGTCCCACCATGGGGGGGTCCTCAGCGCAGCCTTGGGGGGGTTGGGCCTTACTTATTGAGGGGGGCACAGCTCGGGGGCACCAGCTGCTGCCTCTGATGCTCCTTCAGCAGCTCCTCCAGCGCTGCCGCGTTTTCTGCGGGCGGGAGGACACCGAAGAGTCGGGGGTCACGGGGGTCTGGCCCAGGTCACCCCCTCGTCCCCCTTCCCATGTGACCCCGGACCTTTCTTCTCGGTGATCAGCCGCACCAGCACCCCGATGGTGTCCTCGTTGGCGTCCTCCAGCTGGCAGATGGAGCTGGGGCCTGGAGACAGAAATTGGGGGATAATTTAGCTCGGTGATGGGGGATAAGGCACCTCAAGAGCAGATGGGATTGCCTGGGACAACGAGGGGCAGAAACCAGAGGAACGGGCTGAGGAGAACGGCTGAGGGGATGCGGGAGCACCGAGGGTGTCGCGGCWCAGCCGAGGCTCACCGGCGCTGCCGGGCTGGGGCTCCTTGCTGGCCGTGCAGTGGTAGCCCTTCCTCTTCAGCAGGTTGCACACCAGGATTCCCAACAGCCCCATGGCACAGAAGACCGGGACGATGGTCAGCACGGCTGCCTGCGCCGCTGCCGCCTCCTCCTCCTCCTCACCCAGCAGCGTCACCCGTGTCCCGTTGGTTCCCGACGCCCGGCCCGGCATTTCGGGGCTGCGGGCTCTCCGGTGGCCTGCGGGAGGCACCGCATCAGCCTCAGGAGGACCGTGGTTGGGATTAAACCCCCTTTTCCCAGGAGCCCCGCACCAGGGCTGGACCCCGGGCTAGCGGAGCCACTTGTGTCACGAGTGGAGGTGTCTCAGCCGCCCCACGCCTGCAAGACATCGTGCCCATCCCAAGGGACTCCATCCTGCAGGGTCCCCAGGGCCGGCACAAGCCTTGGGGTGACACCTCGGGCCCGAGCACCCACCTGGGCAGCCSGGGGTGCTGCGGGGAGCAGCGGCGCAGGGCAGGCACCGGCTCCGGGGCTCCCGGTCCCCTCCGGGGCTGTGGAACCTGCGGAGCGGGACGGGAAGGAAGCTCAGGAAACGGCCCCGAGCAGAGCGGGGCTGTCGGGGGCTCCCCGCGCCCCCCGGCTGGGTTCACCCCGGCTGGGCTCACCCCGGCTGGGCTCACCCCGGCAGGCAGCCTCCGCAGCGGCTGTCGCTCGCCGCCGTCCCCGCCGCCACCAGGACCCTGTTCCCGGCCCGGCACGGCGTGTGAGCGGCGCAGGACGCGGCCCCCAGAGAGAAGGTGCCGGGGGGACAAGCTCGGCACGTCCCCGCGGGATCCTGCGGAGAGAGAGGGCGCTGAGCGACGGCCGCACCGCCCCTCGGGCTGATCCCGCACCGTCCCCCGGTCGGGTCCCGCACCTTTCCCCAGGTGAATCCCGCACCTTCCCCTGGGCTGATCCCGCACCGCCCCCCGGGCGGAGGTGCCGCAGCCGGCACGGCTTACCCCGGTGGGTTCCTCTCCAGGCGGGCATCCCGCTGTCCCCTGCCCCGGGGGACCGCAGCTCCCGGCGCCCTGCGCGGGCCTGCTCAGCACCTGCGGGACGATCAGAGAGCTCAGTGGCCCCGGTGGTGCTGTGGCAGATGCCATCCTGGTGCCACCGTCTCACTTGCACCACAGCCAGAGGAAGCCTCTCTCCGGTGGTGTGAGGGATTTGAGCTCGCTGGATACACCACGATGGATGCAAACCCATCCCCAGTCCTGCCATGGCCSTGGGGTGGTGTCTGAGCACCAGAGAAGGGGCAGGATGGGACAGGACAGGGGACGGGACAGGACACAGAGGCCATACTCACTCCCAGGATGGTGATGAGCCACCAGTGCATCCTGCTCCTCTWCGTCACCAGGGGAGACCTGCCCAAGGGAGAGCACCAGGGACATCACCCAAGGAAAATCCCATCGGTGAAGTGATTTGGGGATCCTATTTCTCCCCATTGGGATGCTCTGAGGCTGCAGGCAATATCCCTGCAGCAGCGTTTCTGAACCATCCCCCAGAAACGTCGATTAAATTTTTCCATTCTATTTTATGGGATTCCCAGCATCAACCCTTCCCCTGGTGATCCCAACTCCATCTCAAACTGCGGAGGGACCAACCTCTCAGCAGTGGAGTCRCACCATTTGTGCAAGGAGCAGATGATGCTAAACAAAGTTAAAGAAAGGTTTTTCCTGCTCCGGAGGAAATCCTTTTGCATCTGCCACAAGGAAATGAAGTCACTATGAAAAATAAAAATGTATTTAAATAAAACTTTGAGCAAAACAAGAGGTGTTTCTCAGAGTCTCATGCCCCCCTCTTTGGGCTCAGCAATTGGTTGTTAAAATTAAAATTTATGCTGACAGCACAGGGGAAGGAAGGAAAAAATAAATAATAACCCAAACCCGGATCCAGCCCCCGCATGGAAATCCTGCTGCCCGCATGGAAATTCCCCCCGGTCGTCACGGTCCTGTGAGAGCCCCGGCAGAGCTTCATTACAGCCTTTGCCTGACGAGTTTTTCCTAATTAGTGACCAGCACTACCCCTGAGATGCAGCTAACTGCACCTGAGTGGGTCCTGGGGGTGAACGGGGTGTTTATAGGATGCGAGTTGGGACACGATGGCACAATACAAAATGAGCATCCTCGGTGCTTCAGGTCCCTGCAGCAGCTCCCAGTACAGGAGCATCCCTTCGGTGTGCCAGCACGGAGCTGACATCCCATCTCCTGAATCCCCCTGGGATTTGGAATGTGACCCTCGAGCACAAAGGGATGGTGAAACTCATGCAAACTCTCCACCCTATAGTCTAGCACTAATAAAACTGCAGTTTAAGCCTAATGGGAAGCATTTTAATCCTCCGGGGCTGTGGAATTAAGCCCTTCTGGGATGCGCTGAGATTTTTGGGGACCTGCTCTACTGGGGAAGGGGTGGCCTCAGGAGGGGACAGGAAGGYCCCACCACAGCTGAGGGACCACGAGCAGTGGCTGAATGAGGCCCCAGCTGGCACAGCCCAGACTGCCAGAGCATTCCAGAGTGGGATAATGGGATCTAAATACCACCAGGAACAGGGGTAAAGTTGCCCCAAGGCCAAGCCTAATCCAAGGATTAGGGACATCCTTCAGATGACCAAGCCACAGGGATGCGGGAGGCGCAGGGACCAGAGGGTGCCAGCTTCTGGATGGCACTGGAGCTTTACCAGTCACAGCCACCCCRGGACTGGGGACAGCTCGGGGCCATCCCAGGGGGAAGGAGGCACCAGTGCTCAGCGGGAAGCCCGGCTGCCCTGACACACTCCTAAAAGCAACACAATTTGCCTCTCCGAGAACCAGAGGAAACCAAAAACCACCCCAATCTGTGCCAGAGCTGGCTGCTTTTGGGGACACTCCAAACCCCCGTACCCCACCTGACCGGTGCATCAATGCCAACACACCAGAAAAGGCGACTCGGGTTTTGGCAACCTCCCCAGTTCCCTCCGGGTCACACGAGCCCTTAAGGCAGCCTGTAACCTAAAACTGCCCTCTGGGATTCCAGCGAGGGTTTCCCCTCCCTATGGGAGAGCAGGGTTTCAGCCGGTGGCTCCTGCAGGCACCGGCAAAAAGGAGCAACTGTTCGGAAAAACTTTGGGGAGCAGCTGCGGGACCCGGCCCGGGACAAGGAGGGGATTGTCCGGCAGATGGAGCGAAACTCGGCATTATCGCATCCCCAGGGCCCCATCGCAGCGGTGGGARCGACCGAGCCGCCACAAAATCCCGGCATTAAAGTCCAACGATCCCAGGGGCACCGCTGGGATGGCGCAGAGCCCAGGCAGCGGCGTTCCAGCCCGTTTCGGGGTGCAGCCCCGCACCGCAGCATCCCG